AACAAGACCGGCCCCAAAACTGAGCCCTGTGGAACACCTCTTGTGACCGGCCACCAACTGGATTTAAGTCCATTCACCATGGCTCTCTGAGTTTGGCCATCCAGCCAGTTCTTTACCCAGCAAAGAGTAAACCTGTGTAAGCCACAAGCTGCCAGTTTCCTCAGGAGAATGCTGTGGGAGATGCTGTCAAAGGCTTTACTAAAGTCCAGGTAGACAACATCCTCAGCCTTTCCCTCATCCACTAGGCGGGTCACCTGGTCATAGAAAGAGATCAGGTTGGTCAAGCAGGACCTGCCTTCCATGAACCCATGCTGGCTGGGCCCGGCCCCTTGGTTGTCCTGCACATGCCCTGTGAGATGAACCACTCCATAATCTTCCCCGGTACGGAGGTCAGGCTGACAGGCCTGTAGTTCCCCGGATCCTCCTTCCAGTACTTCTTGTAGACAGGCGTCACACTGGCAAGCCTCCAGTCTTCTGGGACCTCCCCTGTCAACCAGGACTGCTGATAAATGATGGAGAGTGGCTTGGCAAGCTCCTCCGCCAGCTCCCTCAGTACTCTAAGTCAGTTCAGCTGACCACTATTACAGCACATGCATGGCTTTTCAGGTTTTTTATGGAAGTTATCACTTCTTTCTAGCTGTCTTGAGTAATCCAGTCACTGTAAGCATACTAGCAAAGGACCAAAATCATGGTAGAAAAATTCGCTAACAAACCACTGCCAAAAACATCCCCCACAACCATAATGTTTCTTTTTCCTTTTGTTTCCCCAGTAACTTTCTTTGTTCTTAAACACCTATAGCTGCTAAAGGAATATTAGCAATCTAAAAGCAAAGAATGTTTGTTGTTTATTTTTTTTCTTTAATAAAAAGTTCTTATATATCCAGTGGAGCTTTTTGATTCTATGCCCAGATACCTACATTACAAAGTATAAGACAAAATTACAGGTACATAGTGTGCCAAGAAAATCAACCCAGCGTGGCTTGCCCAGGCTTTTTGAAAGAAAGCATGCATACTGTCTCACCATTATGATTTAAAATAGCTGGGCCTCCAAAGTCATCACACTACCGTACTACAGTACAAGGTGCCTGCAGATGCCTGCAGCAGCAAGCCAACCGATTAGCTTCAGGACTGCGATGAAAGCACGCCTTTGATTTCTGTTCGGTGTGTGTATCTCACAGCTTCATTTTGGTACAAAACAAACCTATGATGAAATGCAAGAAAGCTTAGGAGAAGGGTGGAAATAACCTGAGTCTTTTACAATAATCCTCATTATTATTTACTATGGAGTACAAACGTCTCAGTTTCAATGTAGACGGGGATTTTCTATGGTGAAGCAGAAGAAAATGGGGTTTTGCATTGTAAAAGGTCTTCTGCTTCTTTGGGTTTAAAACAGGGGTCAGAAAAGATTGCAATTCTCTGAGCTCAAGGCTTGCTAGAGGTAAACAGGCATTTGTACACATGTGCACACACACTGTGCTGCCAGAGAGAGCCCTCTTGCGTGCTTCCAAGGTTACCCTCTACCTTCTTCATCACTGAGAATCAGAACAACACCCAAGAAGCTTTTGGATGTACTCTGACACTTTACCAGACAGTTTTTTTGAAACTGGAAAGGAATTTTTTTTCGTTGGCACCATTTTTTTTTTTTTTTCACAATGCCCTCCAGCTACTCTGGGATCCAGGTTAGAAGCAAGGTTCAAGCTGCTGCAAGTTCACAGATGTCACAGGATTCGGTACTCACTAGCCCAGCGAGGAGGCCCCAGCTCCCTCAGCCTCCTGCGAGGGACAGCTATTCAGCAGTGAGAGGAGGATGTAGAAACTACAGAGAAAGGAGAGAAGATCCCTGTTGCATGAGTTATTGACTGATAATTGCCAGCTGAGCTTAGCGAATACAATTTTATCCTTAATTAAACCTCTGATTAAACCATTCTCTACCCTTACCTTCATACCACCTTCAATTTCTGTTAGCTTTCTTAGAGCATTTCAAAAAGAAATTTAGCTATCTCTTAAACTGATGGGTACCATATTCTTCCAAGGGCTTTCTGGATGCTTTGCTGACTAAAATATTGGCACTGTTCCTACACTTTTCTACCTGTGGCCTAAAAAGAAAGCATTTCTGGGTGTGACCAGTATGTACCCTACTCTGCAGACATCAATTTACTCTGAAGAAATACTTAAATGTTGTTAAGAAAGTCATCTAAATTACTCAAAATACTCACTTTCATTGTGAATTAATAGTAGACTTTTAAGTTTTGTACCAGAAGGAATCTCAATTTAACATTATCCTGCCTGCCTTTCCAAGGTTCTCCTCCTCCGGAAGAAACAGTCACCAAAACATCACACAAAAACTTTTCAATAGTACTACATATGTAGCAATTGCATTTTTCTGGACTTATATTTAACCCAATATCCCTCTAATAATTCATCTTGGTAACTGGTTTCCTCCCCACCGCCAAACCCACTACAATCATACTACAAAAATGGATGAATCCGCATTTTTCTATGACAATTTCTGAAGTTCTTTACTGTTTTTAGAGTACTACTAGCTATCTACTAGTTACTTATCTACCATAGAAAACACCTATGTTTTGATCTGTTACTGCTATATTTACATTGTTCATATTTTATGTTTAAAAGCCTAGGCATCTATAATACACAAGCCTTCCAGGCTTGAATACTATTTTGCTGTTTGGCATTGATAACGTCCAAATTCCAGCACCACTGGAAGACTGAAAGGTCCCATCTAAACACATGATAAGGCTGGAGCTCAGAGAGCTTACAGCCTAGATGAGCACCCCGGGCTTCACCCGGGAGCAGAAGCCGGGAGGGGTGAAGATGCCTATTCAAGGTTACGATACAGGTCAAAGCTGTGGAGAAATACAGGGCAGCTGGAGAGAAAAATGAACTTAAATTATTATCAGGTGGGGGCTGGACTAATTCCATTACATTATAATGTTTCTGCACTGCAAAGAGGCCATAGACCCAAAGACTTCAACTCCCCGAGTGCATCTTTGTGCCTCTGAAGACAGAACAATTCATTTTTCTCTAAGCTTTTTTGCTGCACTTACCAGCTTAACACTTACTTGCTTCACAGTTATTAATTAGCACAAGCCTCTCTTGGGAAGGGTGTGGGGGACGTACAGATGGGGAACTTCAGTGTGGAAAAATTAAAGTCAATTGTTTTTAGGGCTTTCTTTCACAGTATAATTTGCAGTCCTTTAACATGTAGCTATCTGAATAACAATATAGATATAGCAGTCTGATGGATCTAATGAATTTGCTTGTGTCCTAATTTAATTATACCTTCGGCTATGCCATACAATAAAAACGAAGTTGTAAAGGCTGCTGCTTTCGTCCCCTTATCTTGCAGCCCTTCCACCAGCAGTGGAAAGAAAAGATGCCCGTCCTGTAGTCATGAAAATCAGTGAAGCATTTGTAAACAACCACTATGCATGTCCACTGTGCTTGATCGGGTTTTTATTACAGCAGCCATCTCAGGACTGAATGACAGCTGGCCTGTGTGTTCACTGATAATAAATATCAAAGGGACAGGAGAAAAAAATGGAAACTATCTGTTTGGACTTGGCACAAACTAATATACATCAAGCTGGGCTCTCTACCACCAATGACAGAACCAAAAAGAACCACTCCAAACCAACAACAAAAAAAGTTCTCGTTCCGTTTCAGGTCTGGTATGATGATCCATGATTGATTTTTCACTGAAGTTGTACAGCCACTGCACAGAAAACAAAATGAAGGTGACCTTGTTTGCAGGACAGTCACTGCCCTTTTGGTTCTCAAGTGTAGCACCATTAACTGACCATCCTCCTCCTCCTCCCCTTTCTCTATGCAAAGGAAATTACTTTCCACTGCCTTTTTTTCTAGCTGTCATGAGATTCAGAAATTCCTCCGCAGAGAGGACGCGGATTGAAAACCAGCTTTGTCAGTCCCTATCTTGGAGCAGCCTGTGAACCTCCCATTCATTCTGAGCATGGTGTCAAGCTGGCCGCAATGAAAAGCGTGCTGCAAAGACAGCTGAACCAGTGCTGCCCAAGCTTAAACCAGGAACAGCTGGACCTCTGCAAAGTATCATGCCCAAGCTAAAAACCCAGGCGTGGATGCAGTGCCACCCAAACCCTGCTAGATGGATCTCTGGGCCCTGGGCCAGCGTGCCTGCCATGTTAGAGGGAAGGGTATATGGATAGTGCTACAGCGGGAACTGCTGCTCCTTTGCATCGGTGGAGGGGCACCATGTTCCTCCCCAGTCACTTCTGCTACCAAAATTTCGCTGAGAGTTTTTGGCGGCATCTCTGTGGGACTGATTATTTGACCTCAAAGCTTGGCCAAAACTCCCTAACGTAACAGGAGACAAACACAGAGGTAGAGGATCCATGATAATGGCTCAGCCAGTCTCTGTTTGAGAGGTAGGAAAAATTATACTTGCCCATTTGCTTTCTAGGGCGTTCTTCTGTAAAACTCCTCCGGTTGAAGCTCTCTCTGAAAGCTCTCTAGAAACTGGGGAGTAGCAGAATAAAGGATAAATCAGGTATCCTGGCAACCACAGCATGCAATCACAGACACTGGTGGCACAACTGGAAAGTTTCCAGAAAATTTCAGCTACGATGAAGCAAAGACCCCATCTCCATTCAAGCTGACATTTTGAATATGTTTTACTCTTGGGGATTTTGTTTTGACTGCCTCATTTGGCAGGATTATCATACACAATAATCAAGCCAAGTCAGATGTCTCTGTTGCTAACATTAACTAGAGTGGCACAACTAATACCCACATATCCAGCTACCCTGGGACAGATAAGCTATGACAACCAGAGACAAAGAACCGTCAAAGAATCTGCACAAAGCTCAAGTGCATAGGAGGAAAATCACACACAAATGGTGGCTCCATAATGAAATGATAAAACAGAAAAAGGACAGCCCAGGCAGGGCGAAGAGCCAACCCACACACTTGGATTGGTAGACGTGTACAAACACAGACATATATGTAGATGTAACTTCTACTGTCAACATTTTTTTTTCCAATAGGGATAATTTTAGAATATTTATAAGGCTGTACACATTTTCAGTTTGAAAGCAATGTATTTATTCACTCTTTTCCTACAGCTGAACAAAGGGTAGTATTTATCAAGTGTAGTGTCTGACAAAGCCTTCAGTGCTGTTAATCACACCAGCTTCCTTGATATATTAAGGCTATTGGGACATAACTAGATAAAGATGCACATATTACTAAGTGAATCACCTTCTATCAGTCTAATGGAAACCAAGTGCTGATTTAAGTGGAGTCATCTGTTCAAAAAAGACAGAGAAAAAAATTGAAATAAACCCAAGATTAACAGATGTCGGAGAAGGGTCAATGGTGAGCAATGCTGGATCCAAGACTTTTAAAATAGAAACGTACATGAATATTTGAACTCACTTGAATATTTCTCTCTGCTTGACTGTGCAAATATAGCATTTAATATAGTTTGTTTAGCTTTAAGTATTACATGCGTAATTATCTATACATAGGACAAATTTCTGTGTCATGTAAGCATGTTCAGTCCTCTCCACCCCTAGGCTCCTGGGCTACAAAATTATGTTAGGAGATTAATTTCTAGACGATTTAAAATCTACCATCTGAAATAGTCCCAGTACATTTACATTGGCTGGGTTGGTGTGGTTTATGTGTTTATATATGATGTTCTCAAGTACTGGATGGTTTTAGTATTAATGGGCTATGATTACATTGAACATTGCACTGGCCAATATAACTATTCAAAACTGGAGGGGTTTTTAAAGACAATATCAAAAAGGAATGCTGATTTGTGGTTAAGTCCCAGACACACCTTAAGTTAAATTCCTGGCTGTGCCACAGATGCCACTGTGATACCTCGGGCAAGACACTTGCTGCACCTTAGCTGTAAAAGAGGGAAACAATATTTTCTTTTGCCCTTCTTTTCTCTATTTTTGTGTTTTTAGTCTGTCAGAGCAGGAACTCTCATGCTATGATGAACCTAACGAAGCTACCACAAAGAAGGTCCATCCTAAAGGGAGGCAGCTCATCAGACTGTCACACCCATGGCATACAAGGGCAATCACACTCTGCCAGGTTGGGCTGCTGGCTGATCACTGGAGCTACCAAGCGTAGCATCGGTTACTTTGAGATAGAAAGAGTACCTGTGACACGAGTACTTGCTAACTGCTAAGACAGTGGGATACTTTAAAGACTTGTAAAAAGTCATCGTAATCATACTTGTTCTAGATGTTTATAGAAGTAATGCAAATCTTGATTTTCTTATAGAGAGATTGTGATTTTGCCACAACCCCAGTGGGTAGGATACAGGGACAGAGAAGTATTTGAGGAAACTGTATTTGCCATCTTTGTTTCCTGAGCTCTAGGAGGGGTAGGTACACTTCGAACCAGGTGTTCATATTCTACTTTTTATTGACTGCCTATTTTTCTTCTTATCTTCCCTCTGACTCCCATCGCTCTAAGTAGGAGTCAGACAGCAAAGGCTCCTTCTCTTTCTCTTCCTGCAATCTAGCCAGCACAGGATCATTTCTGTTTTGCAATTTTATTTTTTTGGGAGGTGGGGCGAGGAAGCAGATAGGGTGACAGAAGGTATGGACTTCGTGTAAGAAAGGGAGTATACCTTCCTCTACTCTGAATCTTTTCCAAGAGCTGAATAGATTCCAACCTGAAAAGACTGCAGCCTGAATAAGTCCTTTCAACTCCACACGCTTTTCCTCCCTGATACTTAACTGCAAATGAAAATAAAATATTTTAATTCTGGCAAGATCATTTTCAAAACAGATCTTTGACAAGGAACAATTTTAACTTTGATGCATCTAACTTCAGTAGAGGTTCATCCTAGTGTATCAAAACCAAAATTTGCCATTTATGTTAGATGCTTTTTGGTCACTTGTTTGCAACACACACGCACAAAAATAAAATGCAGATATGATCTTATGGTCATTTCTTTTCCTGTAACCTGTAAGAAAGACAAATAAAAGTCTTCTGTGTAGCACACTGTGCACATGTGTTGTTCACTTAAATCCCTCTTCTCTGATCCCTTCTCCACAGGGTATTTAGTCCATTCAACTGTTCCACATTCTCTCTCAGCATATTCACCATGCATTTCCATTCCATGTCAAATGTAAACAGTCTATGCACAAGAATGATGTAGGCTATGTTTCAACTCTTGCTTGGGTTTATCTTTGAATGCCAGACAAAACAAGCCTTATGTGGTTTAATAAAAGATCAAGTCATGTCAATTTGAAGACCTTATATCTACCTGCATACCTACTCAAATATAAGCACAAATAGCTGATCCCCAAACCAGCAACTAGTCTGAAAATTGTTGAAAAGATTATCAGCTGGTAACGCATTATTTCATTCTTCCATTTCCTCCCCCCCATTCCTAATTTATAGGATATATTGCATGTTACTTAGAATTCCTCTGGGATTTCTGCCCTTAGCCAGCAAGTAGACAGCTCTGCGGATCTCAAGCATGCAGCTGTTGCCAGTGTTAAGAATTCAAAAGTCATTAATCAATGACTTTTAATTAATCAATCATTGATCCCAAACAGGGAAGAAATCAGTAAGATTAAAAAAAAAAAAAAAAGAAAAGTATATATAAAACAATTTGTATTTGTTTTGCAAGGTTTGCGCTTGCCTTCCAAACCACCGCCTGCATCCAGAAGCATTAGAAATTTGGGGTAAAATCTATAGCAACTCACTTAAACAGGAAGCCTTTTCTTTAGGGGTATTTCACTTCTGCTGCTTTGCTTTTAATAAAATTTGTAGAGGAGTATCACAGATGACTGCATGTGACTGAATGACCAGACGTTAATTAGCCACTGCTTTTGAACACTAGCACAGAAACTGTGTGCTACCTCGACCTAACTTCAGTCACTATTCTCTAGAATAGAGACTTAATATTTTGTCCTGTTCGACTTTATTTTACAGGGATTGAGTGTATATTCTCAATTCCTGCAAATAAGCTGATGAGCTGCAGTATCCTCACCATCTGAGGCTATTTAAGTTCAGATGCTAGATTTGGTTTTTGTTTGTGTTTAGGGTTTTTTTAAAATATCATCACATTTCCTGTGATCCAAGAGCTGACACTACAGAAACAGACCATAAAATACCATGATAGCTTGCAACATTGCTCTGTAGGCCAGGTCTGTAACTATATCTAAGCTACTGTGCCTAGATAATAGCCTACAGGTTATAGATAGTGCTTTAGAGTGAGTATGTTAAACAGTTTCAACATTAACGCAAAAATTGCTTGTTTTTCATTTGTGCTGCAGTAGGACCTAATGATCTTCAAACAGATAAAATTAGATAAAACAGATAAAATGCTAACAAATGGATGCAAGTGAAAGCTATTCCAAAGAACTTCATGGCGCAGTGCTGCAAAAACCCACATGAATATCCTCTAGACAGGCATAGTGGTCTGCTGGCACAGCTTTTGTAAACAGATCAGGTCTAAGACACTGTACAGCAACGGGCTGCATGGGTGACCAAATCCAGTGGCAAGCAGCTGTGTATAACAGCCTCGCATAAAAAGGGCTATATCGAACAAGATTAAAGGTTATCTCACCCAGTTATCTTGTTTCTGGTGCAAGGCTTGTAGCAGAACCTTAAAAAAAGCGTGTAAGAAAGCACATGTACATAAAGTCATGCTTCTCCTCTTTTTACCAACTCATCACTGACCAGTGTTTAAAGGACTTGTTAAACCAGAGTTTACATCCAGACATCCTGTTTAATAATCCTCAAGCAAGCCCTTCTCCACGACTTTGCCTAATCTGTCTCTCAGTTTGTTTCTATTCTGGCTACCAAACCTTCTGGCAGCAGTGAATCCTACAAATAATTATTTTTTGTTTTCATTTTTAACATTGTGTGTCTGATAATTTTATTTCACCGAAGCTAGTGAGATGGAGAGCATAGGATACTGGAAATGGAAATCTGCAGTTTTTCTTTGTTTACCCATTGAAATAGTATCAGATTGGTGATAGTAAAGCTATTAAAATTTTAAGGCTGCTTAATGACCTAGATTGATGAAAGATGTGCTTCGTTGTAGTCCAATTTATAGAAAATGGGCACCCTCCATCACAAAGTTCAGCACCAAAATTGCTTCCGTATGCTTGTTCTTCAGCATCTGGAAAAAGACTAAGGATTAAATTAATAGTGATACTTAATCTTCCACATGCCTCAATATTCCTCCACATCCCCCAGGTTATTACTTCTGCATTACTGCAAGATCTATATACAAGATGAGTAACTGCTTGGTGGTGGTTGTTTTGATTTTTATTGATTTGCATATATTTTAAAATTTCAATCCAAACCCACATTTTTCTTCTGTTTCTAGCTATCAGGAAGGAAAATCCTCACACACTATTGCAGAAGCTGCCAATATTCAACACCTGAACTGACTCAGATATACTCAGTCTGCAAAATGCTGAATATTTCCACATCAGCCACCTTCTGAAGCCATCTCTTCCAAATGTTGACTCATGCCTCTAATCATGGTTTCCAGTACTGGTCAGAAATTCATAAGATGGTTGTTAAGTCAGTCTTCTACCGTGCATTTTTCAGCATCATTATTCAATTAAAAATAAAGCCAAAATGTCCCTAGTCATTACACACTGATGTGCAAGAAGGCCATCAAAGGTCAAGGCCTTTTTCGAAGTTTGTACTAATTGCTATGTTACAGCAGGAAGCAGAGTAACTGTTCCCACAGGCTACAGAATGCCATAAAAAATAGACAAAAAAACCCACCAAGGTTTGATCCTGTGTTAGATAAGGCAGATCTTTCACATAAAATTGGAAGACTGGCCACACACGAAGAATTCTTTTAGGTGAACAAGCTGTCAACATGAGACCTGGTATTTCTGAACCCAGGAAGAGGTAGATGAGATAATACTTTTCTAAGTAAAATATTAACCTATGTAATACATGTTCTTAGGATGGTAAATATGGAGCGTCCAATAATGACACACACACATATATAGCTTTATACCTCCATTTATGACAGAAATGCTGTCATGTAACACACTGTGTTGCTGAGTAAAACCGTATCACACTAACCAAAAGAAAAAAGCACTTCAAAGGCATACAACTTTGATAAAGCTTAATGCTTCTGCCTACCCTGATGAAGGAAGGCTGAAATGTTGGCTCATTGAAGCTACCTTGTGGTTTGATTAAAAGACCTTCTTCACAGCCTGCCAGGCCAAAGGAAAGACTCCCATCACTTTTAATGGGCTCCTGGAGCGTCTCCTAAACCTTTCTGTGTTGGATGGGCTTGGAGTTCATTGTTAGAAATGGTGTGATTACAATTAACCTTGTGGTACAACGAAGCATCAAATTTATGAACATTACAGTGAAATTCCTCTGCAATATATAACTCAATTTAAATTTTTTTTTTCTTTTAGCAAATCAACAGGAGAAATAAGTTAGATATGAAACCTTTTGCAACGGGGAACTATTAGTTGATCAGAAAGCAAGAGCAGGAAAGAGCAAGAGTAAAATTAGTAACTAGACCTAGACTTATCAATGGCCATTCTGTTCCTCTGGACTGTGTATAACAGGGTTCCAGCAAAACTGGTTTCTAATACACGCATGGATAGAATCAATACTCTGGTGAAACAATTACAGAAAATTATTAAGCCAGAAGAAAATGTCATACTGCGTATATAAATGTTGTAACATACAGGTCTCCACCACTTTTTGAAAGCTTTTAAATAAAGCCTTTGCACTGACTTCTCTTTAAAGGTTTCATACTTGGCACTCACAGTGAAAAAACATATCAAAATAGATCACATCCTTACTGTTTTACTGAGCATGGGATCTACACATTTAACAATCAAAGATATTGTAGATGGAAGACAGAAAACCAAATCACCATAACCAGAACTCAAAAGAACTGTGCAAAGAGAACTTCCTTTCAGTTTCGGTGTCCAAGATCATTTCAGATTTCCAGTAGGCAACTCAAGCAGCACAGTAGCATCTACTTTAGGGTAGATGTTTTCACATGATAGATTTGGTTTTAATTGACTTAAAAAGTGGTGCAATCTGCTTATAAAGTAAATCTGAAAAAGTGAAATGATTCTCTCTTCAGTGCTGCGCTGCACGTTCCAAATTCTGCGTGCTGCTCTTTGGGTCAGTGCTAAGACAGAGTACGAGGGTTCACATTTTTAGTTGTAAGCATGCAAAATGTGCATATGCTTGGAATGAATATTGTCTTGCAGAATGGTTGGATTCACATTAAAAGCTGTCACATGTCTCACTACTGTATATCTTCTGCATAAACAGAAATCTCCATTTAAATCTCTACAACTTAAAATTTAGTAGTAGGTAACACTACTCCTAATGTTCCATATAATTGAAGAAGACTATTCTAAGATGCTAGTAGTGACCTTGGCAATACTGATATTAATACTGTACTTCCTGTCAAGTACAGGAATTGTTCTGAGTATATTAGAAGGAACAGCCAGAAAATTGCTTTGGATTGCTATAACTATTCTTAAAAGGCAAATTTTAAAGTGTCCAAATCATTGCAGAAGGTTAAGTCCTATTTTTAAAACAACTTAACAGAGAATAGAGCATAATGTTTAGTGCTCAGAACGGTTTTAAAAATTTTTTTGTAAATCTGGGTTCTGTTATGCTGCTCTGGGACCGGCAGACCACAGGCAGGACCTACTGACGTCTGGAGGAATCTGGTATGTAGGCACAAAGGACTGGTGAGAGTCCAGGGACCGCCAATTTTAGCCCTTTACTCTGGATGATTTTGTGCAGTGCCCGTATTTAAGACTGAATTGCCTTAGGGCAGCCAAGCAACAAGCCTGGCTGATTACCTGAGAAGTGCAAGTTGTGCCTGTCGTATCTAAATCAACGGTCAGCAAAAGGTTGAAAAAGAGCATTACAGTCATTTACAGCCAAGTCGTTTATAGTCTAAAAAGTTAGCATTACAGTCATTTATAGCCAAGCTACAATTAAAGCGGTGAAAAGAAAAGAGGAGACGTAGCATCCAGAAGCTCCTGAGTGCGCTGCGGGCTGGTTCCTGGATCGAGCTGCTGGGCACACCCCGAACTAAAGCCCTGGCACGCAGTGCTCTGCGTGCGGATTAACACCCCGCGTACACACAGCTGTGCCTATCTGGAAAAACTGTTTCTGATTTTGGTTTTGGTAGCGAGCCAGCCGCGGCCAGGTTTCTTGAGGGTAGGCTGACTAGTCATTCACAGATGTTTCAGGATAAAAAGAGAGAAGGCTGGTCACCGCAGATAAATTGATTTGCCGCTGTAATCCCGCTCAACATTCTCCGAGGGACCGGATCAGCGTATTTACACGCACACACTTGGGCCGCTGCTGCTTAGCGGGGTTTAGGGGCTCGGGCTGGGCTCTGCGCTGGCCCAGAGCTGGCTGCTGTCCCCACGGATCGGGGTGTGGGCACGCGGGTGCCTGCAGCTGCCTGCCCTCGGCCACGGCCACCCGCCTTC